ATATAAGCACAATTTGCAAATAGCGTTAACAGACATGTACTTGTAATTCAGTTTTGATGTAAAATCTTAATATTACATGTAAAATGTAATTTCCATAACAATGTAATAAATACAAGCACATCAAGTAAATTGATATACATAATCAATTTAACACTTTTGGCACATCATCAGATGATGTGTTGGGTGTTTGTGTGTTTAAAACTCTTAATATCTAATTATAGCATTATTATACTCCATTAAATCCACTAATTTTGTTGCGATGGATCTGTATAATATATTACATGATTTATAGACTTCATACTGAATATGCAATGCGGTGAGCCTATTTTTTCTTTCTTTTTTTTTTTTTTTTTACCATAAATTACAGTATGCCATGAAACAGCAAGTGTGTGTCAAAGTGATGAATTTATCTTTATTTTAAATGTCTTAAGCCCCCCTGAAAATGAGAAAAGCAGTGTTGTTAGATGCTGTCATTCTGTTTTCTGGGTCTTTGGTTTCTTTTCTGTTTTGTCATTCTTCTAGTTGCTTCTATCCACACCTGCTCCCTGTTAGCTGATTACCCCAGTCTTTGTTCTTTCTCCCATATATACAGCTCCTCTGCAGTTCATCAGTGCAGGTTTCTCTTAATTACCTTCTCCTCTTGTGTGCTTTTCCCTGGTGTCTCCTGATGTTTTGGTTTCCTGTTTGTTGTTTTTGAATTTATGCTTCTGTTGCCATTTGTTCCTTCATTAAATCAGCAAAACTAATCTCCACCCTACCTTGACAGTGTTATGTTGAACTTCTACTTTCAATAATTACTATTAACACATATGCTACTTTCTGGTGAGACATATGATATTAAATAGCCCTTATTACCCACTTGACATATTCATTTTCTTTTTCTGTGGATTTTCCCTCCCTTTGGGGATTATCAGTCATCCGAGAATTATAATATAAACAGTTGGCAAAAGATTTTTGAGATAATTTTTTAATATGTATTTTTTATTTGAAGTATGTAGAAAGCCACAGGCTAATATTTTTTTTTTTTTATTGATTTTGACTTAAGAGTTTAAAAAGATAGTAAAAAATAAAAATGTAAAAACAAAATTCACAGAATGACCTAACTTACATTAAAATAGTGTAATAGGTCTGACGTGATGCATGGTTCAAAATGTTATTGGCTACGAACTGTAATAATCACCACTGATAAGAGATAATAAAACACTTTGTTTAAAAAAGACATGAATATGTGAGGAAGTAAAAAATCTATTTCTCTCTGTTCATGACGACATTAATATAATCAGCATGCGTGGTTGGGCTGAGCGGAGCACCTTCCTGCAAGAAGATCCAGGAAACGGACGCCGCCAACTAATACGTCAAGTTAAGTACTGACAGCACCATCTGCGACGGAAATAACGCTAATTATCTTTTAAAATAAAAGCTTAACATCCCGCGCTAACAAACACAAGGCCAAAAATCCAACCATGTATCGTCACGCGTTAATTCAAAACACATACTTATTATAATTTCTATTCAATTTATAAAAATAAAATATACTATATCATCTTTTTTGTTATTCCAGTTTTTATTTTGAAAAGAAAGCGGAAGTTTTGATAAGTAGGCACGTTGCTTCAGTTAGTCCGCTAACTTCGGTGTGGTCAAGCCACCGAAGCATGAGATCCGTGTTGTGTCCATTTTTTCCCCCTTTCATCGCTCGTGCCAAACGGTAAACATGTCGCTCCGGGTTTGAGGATATTGTCGGTATTCCGGGTTTATTTTAATTTTTAATTTTGTATGAAACGGAAACGCTTCCGTTTGAGCACCGCGAGCTCCTCTCTCCGTCTCCTCCACCTCCTCCGCTAGCGTCCTGTGACGGAGCTTCTGTATATGATGTGATTGTGAATAACTGTCGCCTGGGGAAGTTATAATTGATATTATCTCAGCTGAATGGCTGCAGCAGAGGGCCTGTCAATGTTTATTTCATGCCCGGATGCTCTCTTACTCCGATATTAAGTTCCGCGTCGGGAAGGACCGCTACGTTTTGCTGGCGGATTGATAGAAAACACCGCATCCACAGCACTTAGATTCAGAATAACAACTAAAAAAAAAACAGGATGTCTTTCTTCAATTTTCGGAAGATATTTAAGCTTGGGCCGGATAAAAAGAAGAAGCAGTATGAACATGTGCACAGGGACGTGAATCCGGAGGAAATTTGGCAGATTATCGGTGAGCTGGGAGATGGCGCTTTTGGGAAAGTCTACAAGGTAAGTTAAAGCTTTACATTACATCCGCTTTCTCTTTTTAGCTCCACTTAGATTCACATAGATCCGGTTGTTGGTTTGTTGAATGGAAGGCAGTGAGGGCCTCTGATCGGCCCATAGTCTCATTAGCTTAACCCTTTATAGGGAATTATTTTGAAAATCCAAATATCCAGCCAATAGTGCAAGGGTGTAACTTTAAGATTAAAGTTGGTGGGGATGCTGTAATGATGGGGGCTGATGAACCTACAGCTACTCAACCTGAATGCTTTCAATAGGGTTTATATTTTCCAAAAATTAGCTCAAACATGTATTTATTCAATGCTTTCCTATTCCTATAACACAAAAGAACCACAATACACTGATACACTGTCTATAGGTATAGACAGATGCCTGCCTTTAATGCTTTATTTATAAAGGGTTATGTATAAAAAATGTCGAATAACAGCTGATACCAATGCCAACATCAATATATCACATAACTTCAAATCCATCCATCCATCCATCCATCCATGCATCCATGCATCTCTTCCATCAGTGATTATCCTCCTTCACAAGCAGCAAAATCCAATTTAGATGTCAAACGTCATTGACAGCCAAAGTCACAGCAACACACTGATTTTTATTATTTGTGCTTCCATTTTTATAGTTTTCTTATATTTTAATTTTTAGTCTGTGTCTTGAGTCTGGCTGTCTCTGGGTTGCTAGCACAGCTATTTCTGAGTCTTTTTGAACTAAAAAAGACAAAAAAAGATATGTTGAATTTGATTATAGCACAGCATTTTTTTTCTTGTAAACTTGGAGATATATGTTATTGCATGTTTCATATCCCAGTAAATATGTTTCACCTTTAAATCAACGGCTGTCCCTAATTGTGTCTTTGCTCTGCTTAAAAACAGATTTACGAACCTGTCTACCAATATAATGATACTAGAGAAAATCATTTTCAATATAACTAGGAGCTCTGCAGTCTGATTATCTGTTCAATAAGAAAACAACAGATATGTGTTCATTTTATAACTCTGAATAATGGTCTTTTGTGAAGCCCAGCTTTTTGAACGTATATAAATGTACAATCTGCTGTAATTTTTACCTGTAAAAGCTCCGTATATGTAAAAAAAAAAAAAAAAAAAGGATTTTTCAGTGGAATCTCTAATTATTTTAACCAACCTGTCTCCCAACTTTTACTGAAACATATATTGAAGTATCTGCCAGTTAAAATTCACTGAGTGCTGCTGTGTCTCTTCTCCTCCTCGTAGCTACTCTGTACGCAGTGAATAGTGACCGCAAATAATATTTTGTCCCAAAGCGACAGATCTGATGACATTTCAAGAGGTGGGACTCGAGAGCAGCGGGAGAGCGTGGAAAAAACAAGGACTGAAAACACTGAGCACAGTTAGCTGTACTCAACCCCAGTTACTGTTGGCTAAAGTACGGTAAATCAGCGGAAAGGGAAAAAAGCTGAAATGATTGGTGGGGACTGTCCCCTCCATGCCCAAAGCTGGTGGGGACATGTCCACACCAGTCCTTCAGAAAGTTACACCAGTGCAATAGTGTTATTGAAATCCAGGACCAGACCTTATTACGTTTATTACATAAAAAAAATAGATATTTTGATGACAAAAATAAATGTCAATGTAATAACAGGAAATGCCAATTTGCCCCAATATATTAAGAAAAATAACAAGAGTTTCTTCTATAAGAAATTCATGAAAAACACTGAGAGTGAAAGGAACCCTTTTTTTTGGTCCAACATAACCTTAGAGGCATTAATGCCGATACTGGCTCTTACATTTTGTAGTTTATAAACCAAAATATAGTTGCTAGCTTGGCTTATTAACTTTGAACTTTACTTTCTAACTTTTCAATGCCCTTTTTATTTTTTTTTTTTTTTTTTTTTTAATTGTTAGCTTTTGCTTTTCAACTTAATTTCCAGTAGGTAATATATTAATCAAGCGCTCATCTAATTGGTCAAATGCCAAAATAAGATGTACAGTCATGTAGCAGGAGCTTTGCTGAATGGCTCGATATAGATCTAGTGCTTCTAGACCTCACTCAGGGACAGGGGGAGGGACTCCATTAGTAAGTCAAATGATCAAAAATGATAACTTTCCCTGTAAAGGGTTGAAACTAGTAGCTTACATTTTCTTATAAAAGTTGGCTTCTTTTTATGATCTTCAAGCTGCCAACCCGCCTCCTTTTACTGGAATGTTAAGATTGATTAAAGTTTTTTTTTTTCCTTCATCGGGCTACAGCAATCTGAACAACACGTTTTTTTTCCTTTTTAAACCAGGCTTTATGTGCTCACTCAGGGATTATAGAAGGCGTGGTTCATAGCTACTGAATAAACCCAGCTTTAACAATCGCATTGTTAAATTGAGTTACTAGACATCAGAGAACTATTAGCAGTCAAATAGCAAAGCAGGCAGAACAGGTGCTTTGGAAAGTAAAGTCACACCCTTTGATTGTATGTAGTTGTTGATTTTTCAATACACTGTTGCAGGTATTATTCGTTATTAGTTGCTGCCATGCAAAAGAAAGTGTTTTTTTTGCCTGTTATCCAGGGACAGGTTTTTAGTATCAAGATGTACAAAATGACTACTTCAGGACATAAGCTTCTTGTACTGTTGCAAAATGCATGTGTAATATTGCAGTGACAGTTTCAATTCATCATTGCTCTTTTTTTTAATGACCTCTCAGCTTTCTCTGAGCCGTACGAGCTTGAGTTATATCAGATGTGGGCATAAAGCTGGGTTGATATCGAAGCCTAAATCTTGAAAGTTTCTGGTGGTGAAGTATAATCGGTGGTGTAGGGTAATCGCCCTCAGACCACCGATCATACTTAATAGTGCAACACTAGAGATCACTAGTCACAACAAAGCAGCAAAGGTGCAGCGTGACTGTGACAGATGTCTGATCATGAGCTCTACTACCACTGTCCTTTGTCTTACACCTGTAACTTCTGCCTGTTTATTGGACTTCCTGTTAGGATTTTATCTCATGGGCCTCACAAAGTGTCACATGTTCTGTACTATGGTTGGCCAGGTGTTTTTTTTTGTTGTTGTTGTTTTTTTACCCATGATGCTTATTATGTAAAGCCTCAAAGTACTCGTTTTACATTTCAGCCATGTACAGATTCATAATTTAAACAGTTTGCTGTCCTGCTCTTAATTTCTAGAATTTAAAGTCCTTGAGATTCGTAGGAATGCTGTGTTGCCCCCTTTCCTACACATTTCTGCAGAATTCCAGTCCCTTCATTTACAATAAGGGGCTCTTTGGAGAAGCCCACCTTTGTTCTTTGAGCACAGTTGGCATGTCTGCATATGAGAGCTGTGCCATATATCAAACTGCACCATCAGCACAAAAATCAGTGTGTGCAACATGCTTGCTTGCAGTATTTCTTAGGATATTGTGTTTCAAGCGTCACACAGTCATACTTCTCTAATATATTTGGCCAGATGGATGAACCCAAACTTTGTTGAATGCCAACACTGTGTGGCTCTGGCTTCAGTTTTAGTGAATTAATTAATCATTAAAGAAAGATCATGGAAAGCAGTAAGGACCACTTAGAAAAGAGTCAGAAAAAAGGTTAATTGATTGTGTTGATGTTATCACCATAGCAATTTCCTGCACTAGAGTTATATTAACTATATTCCTGATATCATGCAGCTCTATTGGCTGCTTGTGCAAATAGCTGGACTAGTACATTTTTTTTCCTCCTTAAAGAGTAGAAAAATAGTTTGCAAAAGAAGTGTTATATTCTGGCTAATAAGCAACTAATAGTATCCATTAAGTATGTGTTTAATTATTTGCTTTAGTCTATGTATTAAAGCCGATATAAATTTGGAGAGAAAAAACATTCTGTGGAAAACAATGTTGACCCCAGGTGAAGTCAGCTGATTTTCATTGTTTATTTTCGATCTGTGACTGACCATTCAGTTACTAATCTAGCTGTTACTTTAAGGTTGATCACTGACCTATATCCCTGGGTGTCACATGTGACCTCTGCTTGGGATGCTTAACCATTTAGGTTTGTTTTGGTCTGAGATTGTTTTACGTCTTCGGAAGATAATACAAATGAATTGCAAGTAAGATCCTGAGGAGGGGCGAGTTTTATATGATGCTCTATGAGGATGTGGATCCTTCCTTCCTAAAACTGTTGTTGAAAAATAATCCAGTTAATGTTCTATTTGAAGCTTAACTTGCCTTTTGTTTGTTTCCTGCTGTTGTTAGCTAGATGGCTAATTGTCAGGGAAGTTGGAGAGCTCTTTAGTTTTAGCTGCTTAAAGAGGAAATCCGGTTTTATCCTGACCCAACGTTCTCTGTTCAGAATGAACTTTTTTCAGATCACAATGCTATTCTCACCAGCGTTTTTCTCAGGCCTTTGATGGCTGCCTCCTCTAGGCGTGGTGGGATTGGCTGCCTGCAAAGTGTGAATCAGCTGTTTAAATGAGTCACAAAGGAAAAGAGAAGCATCCCTAACTCAGGCATGCGTGAAGTACACGTTGAATTGTACATTACAAAGTGAAGAGGTGTGTCGTTTTTTTTTTTTTTAGAGAGCTTTAAAAACCTACAGTGAATTTCTAAAGCAGAGACTCGTTTCACATTCTTTAATTTAAAACTGAATTGAAAATAAACATTATCTGGTAGATTAACTCGTTTTTTTTTTTTTTAAGGCAGTTGGTTTGAAAATGCTGTGATCATGCTGACCGAAGCAAAGCAGTTCTTTGTATTTCCTGGATTCTGCTTCTGTATTAGGAAAGGTCTGTCAAACAGGCGTCAGCTGGTATGAAAGGAAAGAGCTGGGGAGCATGTCATGTCAGAAAGTGTAAATATAGGGTCTGACACAGCAGGAAATGTTAACACACTCTTTTCTTTTTTTTTTTTCTTTCTTTCCACTGACGCTTTGTCTGTATCCATAAACATAAGAAAAATCAACTCAAGCTTTAAAAAAAAGCCTCAGCTTGTTCATGGATGCCTGGGCATCTCTGCTACCAGCATCTTCAGGGTATCCTGCTGCCAGGTGAAGGTTTAGGGCCTCAAATGATAGCGTGGTGATAATTAGCTGAGGTGTAACAGAATAAAGGGAAATAAAGAAGAGCTCAGTGTCAAAAGAGTGAAGAAAGTAAACAAGCTTCATGAAATAATTTTTGGTTATTTATGTTTGGCTTAATTCTGCTTCTATTTATACAAAGGAAAAAAAAAGAAGATAAAAAATATAGTTTTACTGTGTTTAGTAAACTCTGTAGGGCAGATTTATTTATTTTTTCTTTTAAAGAGCATTCACGTTCAACTCCAGACTGAATTCCTTTATGGTGCAAAATCCCTGATGTACATCACAGACCCTGCAGTCAAATGTAGCAATAAAACCTAGTTTTAGAAATGCTTTAAACAGCATTGGTGTCTCTCATTAAATTAGCTTGTTATTGTTAATTTTAAGAATGAAATGACAACTAAGGCTTAGAGCTAAAGACAAGTCTGATTAATGTTAAAGTAAGTTGATAGGTTTTACAGATCCTATAAAGGTTTTTTTGGAGAGAAATTTCATGTTATGGCCTAATCTTTATTGTTTTTAAAAAATCTAAATTGAAAACAATGTGTAAGGGTAAAGTTTGGAGGAAAAATAGGTGCGCTTCAACATCAATAGCCCCCTTTCATAGGATTTGATTTACGAAAAAAAGATTGACTGCATTTAATGTTGATCTGAAAGACATAAACATAGATTTAGATACAAGAGAAATGCGCCACTCTGTGTGTTATAGAGCTAGGTAAGTAGTAGGTTTAACTTTTTGAATTGAAAAGTAACTTGAGATCTGTATGTGTTGAATACAACCCCTTTCCTGTTTTATGTGTTTTGTATTGTTTCACTTTTTAAATGTTTCGCTCTTGTTGCTTCCAGGCTCAAAACAAGCAGAACGGAACCCTTGCGGCTGCTAAGGTTATTGACACAAAGACCGAGGATGAGTTGGAGGATTACATGGTGGAAATCGACATCCTGGCTTCCTGCGATCACCACCACATTGTCAAACTGCTGGATGCGTTTTATTATGAAGGCAAACTTTGGGTAAGGTACACGCCTTTCCTGGAACGCTCAAACTTCATTTTACTTCTCTTTTTTGAGTCATCCTCATTAATCAATTTTTTTTTTTTTTTTACCTAACATAAAAGTTCAAGATTGTTTACTTTTAAAGTTAAACACAGACTTTTTCTGACACAGCTTTGAGATCTCTATTTTTCATCAGCTCATTCTTTGTGACTAACCCATGTAGAGCTCATTCTGTGAGCGCTGGGAAGCCCTATTATCTCCTGTCAGATGGTGTCATGTGACTGCCCCTTGTGGACCGGCCACAGCTATAGGAAAATAATGGAATGGTTTTGGTGGCTGGAGAAAGTGGCCGTGAATAATTCAGAGATGCATGCAGGTCATGTCTCTGGAGTCCGTCTCTTAAGCTGCTTGATTAATGCCTAGCTGCCTCCGCTTTGTCTGGCTCGTCCACTTAAGTTATGATTTATTCCTTTGTTCGACTGCAGGATTTAATATGGCAGATATCAGTTTGTAACTAAACAACTGTTGAGTAAAAGTCTAATGGCCACAGCATGACGGCTGTTATTAGCACCAATGCAGAACAGGTTTAACCACTTTTTTCCTCCAGTATTGGGATCCATACATGGAGTGCAATGCTCAATCCCGGGCTAGATTTTCTTTTTAAACCATCTGGTGCATCATAATGCCAAGTACCATAAGGCAAAGCTTAATGGTGTTGAAGTGGTTGCCAGGTTAATCAATTAGCCCCCCAGACTACCACTGTAAAGCTGTATTTCTTCTTTTAAATACATTCAGTAGAGGGGGCGAAATAAGAACCTGCATTTATCTAAGTGTTATTATTCAGCAGATTTACTTTATTGGGGAAATAAACAAACTAGCTGCTGTTGCAATACAATAGTACAATTTCAGAGCTCATTACAATGGATTCTATGAGCCGTTTGTTCTCAAATGCTGATATTAATGGCTACTGCAGTCTGAAAGTTATTCAACCTTCTTTACTTCTTAGTTTGGCACTGAGCAAAATATAATTCATAACCAGGTACCAACTTCTGCAGCGTTCCTGATAAAGTCTAGCCCACAGATTTAAGGCAATGGTCTTAACTTCATCTATGTCTTTGATCATGAGTGGTGTGTGTGCTGCTGCCATAGTAGAGTTCCAGTCAGGCATCTATAATGGCCACACTAGTGTGTCTCCAACTTCTTCTTCAACTGTCTTCAACTCCACTGAAGCCCAAGACAGCCTATCATTTTATTGTAGCCCATATTGCTCTTTCTTCTGTAAGTTAAACAATAAAACTGACACAATAATAACAAATGTTAGCCAAGTCTCAATTTAAACAAAAAAAAAAGCATGTATTAAAAAATCAAACAAAACATTAACAATGCATGGCAAATGAAAGGAGAGGCATTGCATGTGCTTCAATCTCCAGGCTCAGGCATGGCAAATACGGATGCAAGAAAAATCCTTTTAATATTGACTAAAAATATCAGCCAGCCAGCATATTGGTCCATCTCTACTTTTTCACATGTTGGGTTTTAAAAAAAGTAGTTGAGGATCAACGTCATTCAGAATCAAAGCAAATAAAGTTTCATGCACAGCAACTCCTTTTTTTTTTTTTTTATAAACATGGTGTAAAAACAACAGACGGTCGCAACAAAACATTTGATTTAAAGATGAGATTTCAATTTTCTTAACCTCCTATCAGAACCTTGTAACAGTTGGTTAACTCTAACTTTCTGTAGAAGCTCTATAAATCTTTTAGAGCACCAATAATTGAAGCGGCACATTTCTACTAAAATGAAAATGTGTCTGAAGTTGGAGCCATTTGTGATCCGATGGTACTGAATTGATTAACTCCTAAGAATGTCATCACAGGCTGATCAATAAAGGTTCTCGGAGTTGAATGGCTCATTGTATCGTTTTACCTCTTTCTTTTTTCTATAGATTCTGATCGAGTTCTGTGCTGGCGGTGCGGTCGATGCCATCATGCTGGGTAAGTCCCTCATCTATAGGAAGAAATGGGGGAAAAAATCCATAATGCCAAATGATACTGTCGTCTTTAAACCTGAAGCAACAACTGGCAGATCTTTATTGCACTGTGGGATTTTCTTTTCTTTTTTCACCCCTCACTGTTAGTAAATTAGCTCAATTTTATCACTGATGCTTTAAGGCCACCTATTTGTAATTACATTTAGATGTAGATATTTTCTCAACTGTCTTATATATCTCTAGTTTGCCTTTGATAGTAGACACAAGATGACATTAGGTTGCACTCTGTCCTCTATATGCTGTTGGATACCGTGCTGGAATCCCATTTTACTGAGAGTGTATGTTGTTGATCATCAGAACTGGAGAGACCCCTGACTGAGCCCCAGATCCGGGTGGTGTGTAAGCAGACCTTGGAGGCCTTGACGTACCTTCATGAGAAGAAAGTCATTCACAGAGACCTGAAAGCTGGAAACATTCTGCTGTCCCTCGACGGAGAAGTAAAACTCGGTACAAAGCTTTTAAACTTGATTCAGTGAATACAGTCTCTATCTGAAGGACAGCGAGCTTTACAGACGCTCAAAGTATTCCCACGCCTTTAACGTTTTGGTATTGAGTCACGTTACAACTTCATACTTCCAATTTAGTCATAAGCCTCAGTGTGTAGATCTAATTACAATTTTTCCCTAACAGATGCTCTCCATTTTGTCGGATTGAGCGTTAGGCTACTTTTGAAGAACTGACATTTCAGTCTTTATTTGTGCAAAGCTGGTTGACTCTAAATATACCTTATTTTTGAAAATTGATTAATATCATGAATCCTTTTTCTTTACCCGCCCAAATATGCACTTCATGTTTTTGAGATATCACCGAAAAATAAAAAAAAAAAGCCTGTGAATGGCTATAAAGGGACCAAATGTTTAGTTCATATCTGAATGCCTCTGCAGGACACTGTACCAACTATAAAGATTCATTCAAACTGCATTTTTTCCCCTCATCTATTGTTTATACATCACTGATGTGCTGCAGTTGGTGATGCATCAAATCGGTTACATCATTTTCCACAAGTAAAGTCTTCATGTAGCCACTGTAGCACACATAGCTGCCTTCTCCCTGATGATTCATGTTCTGTAGGCAGAGGGTCAGGATGTTAGCCTGGCAAACAATAATTATCAAGCTGGTCAACAGAGACTTGATGATGAACAATCCTTTTAAGCAATGTTAGGATAAAAATAGCTGCAAAGATTTGGTTTATAAAAATGCGATTTTTAAAAAAAATCCTTTTTAAAGCAGGTTTGTATCACTCTTGTTTAGATTTATGGCAGTTCGACTTTATGCTTCAGTTGGATTTAGTCATAAAAAAAAAAAACTTACTGTTAAATTCTACTTTCAGCTGACTTTGGTGTTTCGGCTAAAAATACCAACAGTTTACAGAGAAGAGATTCTTTCATCGGCACTCCATATTGGTGAGTCATGCAGCCTAAATATAGGACGGCACTCCTCTTTTCACTGCTGATTACTTTCTCCCCTCCTGCAGTTGCATTATGTGTGAAGATGGAGAAAAATGGCTTTGTTTATTAAATAAGACAAACATCCTCAGCTTTAAATAATGTTTCAGCTTCTGTTTTTTGGAATTCCACACTGAAAACATAGACTCAACATTTAGTTTTCTTTCGCCATTAAAATTAAAAGAGGGTTGAAAGTGAAGTATTGCTGTTGTAATACTACTCATTGACTGAATGTTGCAGGATGGCGCCTGAGGTCGTGATGTGCGAAACCTCCAAAGACCGTCCGTACGACTACAAGGCCGACATTTGGTCCCTCGGGGTAACCCTCATAGAGCTGGCACAGATCGAGCCTCCCAACCACGAGATGAATCCCATGAGGGTGTTGCTGAAAATAGCCAAGTCTGAGCCACCCACTCTGATGAATCCCTCTCGCTGGTGAGGAGGTTTGATTCTGATAACGGAGGTGCCGCTGAGATGTTTACAGATTCAAGATAAAGGATCATGTTTCATATTGTATTTGTGAAAAGTTTCAAGGGAAAGAATAAAATTGTTTCTTGATGTTTGATAGCCATCATAACTTTCACGTATATTTGAACAGGTCTCCAGAATTTAATGACTTCTTAAGGAGAGCGCTGGATAAAAATGTGGACAATAGGTGGAATTCAACACAGCTTCTTCAGGTTAACATACTTTTCACACCTCTGGTTTTTCAGCTGATCTGATATTTGAGTCATGCAGAGAAATCGTCTTTTTTCTAATTGTACCTCTCTCTTGTTGTCACACCTGTAGCATCCTTTTGTGGCCAGTGTGACCGATAGCAGACCTCTTAGAGAGCTTATAGCTGAGGCCAAAGCTGAAGTCACAGAAGTGCTTGAAGATAGCAAAGAGGAGGAGGAGGAGGAAGAAGCTGATACTCCAGCGGTGGGTTATTTTATTGTTTATGGGTTTAAATTTCCTCTGCAGCAATTGATTGTATTCCTTTCCAGGTCTGAATTAGAATGCAAAAGTAAAACAAAAACATTCAAATTCATCCAGAAAAATTGAAGTTAGCAGAGATTATGCCATGTTTTTTTTAATAAAAACATCTATTTTTGGATGATTTAATAATTTATTGCATCACAGCATGAGATTTAGTCCCATTTGTGCATCACATAGGTTTTTCACCAGCTGACAACAAACATTCATTTAATAGTTCAAATAACCTCTTTTTCTAGCTTTAGAATCCCTTTAGGTCTGGATTCAAAATAGGCTCTTAAATGGACTTCGGTTCAGAGGCCAAACAAGCATTTTCATTTGCTAACAATACCTCAGAAACTTGCTTTTTAAAAGTCATGCTACAGAATTTATCACTGATTAATTACCGTAAAAGCAGATAAAACTACCTTGACTGAAATATTTAAGGATGATGCATTCAGGCTCTCAATGAGAAATATTTTTGGAAACAGTTGTTGCTTAATGCAGAGCGTCAATAGGTCTGTTTTTAAAGAAGCTAGGACTAGTTTTGATTATTAATTATTAAAGCCACGTCATACAATCATGTTGTATCTCAAAATGGATCCATACATTGCAGGTTTTATAATATCAGGCAGCCTTAATATCTACACTGGTATAAACCCATCTAGATTTTTCTGAGTGTTAAAAACCTTAAAAACCTGCAAATTGGTAACATAGATTCAACGGTTTTATAATAATGATAATAAACGGTTTTATTCTTAAATGTCAGTGTTAAAATGATGTGAAGGAAAATCTAAAATTAGTCTGAGTAAGTATAAAATGTTCAAATCAAAAATGAAATGGACCGAAGGAAGAAAAAACAAACTTCAATGAAGGAAATGTGAGAAGTGATTCAAATCTGTTTAGGACTGCTATTTGACCTAAAAGCTTTTATTTCTTAAAAACTTTTCTTTAAATGGAGTAATTATGTTTAAGAAAAAGTACATTTTCACTTAAAAATGTAAAGTGGCCATAATTTAGCTGCTGTGTTACATTTTGTAAATATATATGTATGTTTGTTTTTAATCCATCAGGCAGTTCCAGGGCACAAAAGGGCTCCATCGGATGTCAGCATGGCCAGCTCAGAGGAGGACAAAGTCCCACCTACACCCTCCACCTTGGAGTCTGTTACAGAAAAGACAGAAGCTGAGCCTGGGGAAGACCGGAGCAGCGATAAGCTCTCTGATGAAGGACTCGGAATGAGCGAAGTAGACAAGATGGAGGAGGAGAAGCTCAATGAAGCTTCTCTGGTCCCTGGAACAATAGAGACGGAAAACGACTTGACTTCAGAAGATCCTGCAAAGGATAAACTGGACAAAATCGAAGTTGAGGAGATTTCTGGTGAGGAGGTGTCAAAGCCAGAGGAACCTGTGGATAAATCTTCCTCTGAAGCTGAAGGTACTGAGGAAGAGAAGGAGACCAAGATAATGGAAATACAGGAGGAAGCTACCCAAGAAAAAGAAGACAAAAACAAGCTAGAGCAAGATCAACTAAAAGCAGAAGAAGCTGGCATTGAAGTTTCAGTTGAATCACAAGAAATCCCTGAAGATACAGCTGCATACAGAGAAGCCAAACCAGAAGAAGAGGCAAATGATCAAGAAGAGAGCAAAGATTTAAATCAGGAGACAGGTGAACACATAATCCAAAACATTAAGAATGAGACGGTCGAAAACACGGACACGGATCATTTACCTTCAGATTTAATAAACACAACTGTGAATGGAGAAGGGTATAGCATTGAGGAGTCTTCCACTCAGGCAGTGTTAGAAAACCAGTCAGAGACAAAAGACGAAGTCCTCAAGGAGTCAGAGCAGCCAAAGCCAGAGGATCAGACCACAGCCGAGGATGAAGTACAAGAACAAGCACCAAGTGAATCTAGTCAAGTCATTTCAGAAGTTTCTGATCAAACAGTTAACTCTCAGGATGTCTCTGCTAAGGAAAATGGAGAAAAGGTAACTCATGTAGATGAGGTCATCTCCCAGGATGGCATCTCTGTCCAGGAGAGTGAAACGGATTCAGAAAGCAGGATGGAGCATGGCAGCCCCGCTGTGATGAAGTCAGACGCTGAGAAGGATTCTGACTCTGGAAGCAGCTCTGCTGCAGATAGCAACAGCCTTGACCTCAATCTCTCCATCTCTAGCTTCCTGTCCAAAAGCAAAGAAGGAGGATCAGTGTCTCTGCAGGTAAAACGATCAGCTCCCCCACTCTCTCTTACCAAGTTATTTCTGTTATTGTTGTAAAAGATTCTTTATTATTTTTGCAGGACTTAAAACGTCAGAAGAAGACTCTGAAGAAGACCCGGAAGTTTATGGTGGATGGCGTGGAGGTCAGCGTGACGACGTCAAAGATAGTGACGGATAACGACACCAAAAGTGAAGAGATGAGGTTCCTGAGGTACGGCTGTGTCCCATCTGCGAGCTTCACTGTTGGATCTAAATTTAGGACTTGACCCGTTTAAAGTGGCAGTCTGCCTTGAATAGCTCTCATTCATTTCCCAACTCCCACAACGTTTTACAAATGTCAGATGGTTATCTGCCATGATTCCTGCCTCTTTATGTTCCTGTTATCTCTAATTTGCTCCCTTTTAAAGATTCAGCCTGCTGACAGTGCAGCTATTGTCTGATAAATGTGTACATTGTCACTAAAGCATTTTCAACCTTTGAACTTTTCCACATTTTGTACCACAATTAGTGTTGTGCCGATGCCATTTTTTGGCCCAGATACCCGATACCTGGCTGTGCAGTATTGACCGATACCCAATACCATACCGATAGCACCTGTTTGAAATTGATGTATATGTGTATATATGAAGAACTGCATACTACTTGGATGTAAAATAATCGCCATCATGGCTTTGTCAAGCTGCTGCCTACCTTTGTGAAGCAGGAAAAAGACTAAAACAAAGTGAATCCAGTAGAACTTTTTATTCTACCTGGAATAATGACAATGGTTGAATTAACGTTTTGGCTCTCAAAATGGTATTGGTGCCCTATTTGTTGGTACTCGCTGATACAGATACCACCATTTTAGTGCTGGATCGGGGCCCCGCCCAATACTGGTATCGGTGCAACACTAACCACAACTACTTTAAGCTGTTGTTATTTTACATGCGGATTATAAAAATAGCAAGTTGTGCTTAATCGTCAAGTAGAACAGAAATCAAACATGGGTTTTAACATTTTTAAAAACAAAAATAAAAAATTAATAAAAAAATTAATTATGTAGCCTATTTAGATGTTTAGCCCCCTTAGGCTGGCTGCTTTGATACTAGGGCTGGATGATATAGAAAAAAAGCTTATCGATTAAAAAAAAAAATAATGCATATTGATCAATATCGATAATAATTGAAAAGATTTGAAACCATATTTTATGTGCAGCTCTGCCTGGACTTTTTATGATATTGCTAAATGATTTAATTTTAGTAAAGAACACAAACATAGACTTCCCATTAAATATTTATTTAACCAACTTTTTTAACCATAACAGAATTGTTTTAAAGAAAAATAACTTAAGAGACCTGAGTTATATTATTAAAAACTGACAAAGAATAAAATAAAGTGACCAGAAAAGTGACCAAAATAAATATAACAAATAAATAAATAGAATACCCTATTTGGGGGGGAATAGTCCACCACCAGCTTGTGGTAATTAAAAGATTGTAGGACTAGGCTAACATGTAAACTCCACTCAACAAGAACTAAAACCCAAATCAACTCACCCTTAAGCCTAGCATTTCTATGGGGTATTTTTTCTCACCCCCATACTTCTAGAGGTGCTGCTGGCACCTTGTTATGGTTCAGCTTAGTTTTCTGCTTTAACGCGCCGGGGCCTACACAGCTTGTACTCCTGCGGGTATGAGCGGCTGAGATGATAAAAAAAAAAAAAGTTGGTTGTGTTATCAGACTTCGTTTTCACTGGTTCCCTACAAATTTTACAGATGACAGTGTTTTTTTTTTTTTTTTTTTACCAACTTGCCATGACCGAAATACTGCAAAAACTGGCGAACTACAAAAACCTTTCTTTGGAACAATTTCCTCCGCCTCTCCTTGCTGCCACATCTTCATATGCTCTGTGTTGTGGTTTGAGAGGGCGGCGCTTTGTGACGGCGTGCCTGGGTCCGCGATTGCGATTGGTTGGGAGGAAGTAGTGACTAGCATAAACATACATACTAGGCTACAATGAGAAGGAAGGAAAACTGCATTTCTTTATCGAACTTTTATTGACCCTCTTTTTTTCTATTGCGCCACACGTCTATCGATCGATATATATCGTTATTGAATTATCGCCCAGCCCTATTTGATACCCTTAAAAAAGTATGGCACAACTGGAAAGACTTGGCTGATGGTGACATGCTGGACTTATACAGCAATATTCAGAGAAGCTCTCTTCTTGCAATCTTGCTCTGGAGGAGCAGCAGATCCATAGTTTAGATGGGGGAGTCTTATTAACCAGAATATTGTGGTGAATTCAGACATTAGGCCTCTTTAGAAGCGTGATATCATAAGAGTCATGGCTGAATGAAAACACAAAACTACACTGCTTATAAGGGTGAGTATTGGCATGAGAGTTGCGATACAATATGTGTCACAGTACAATATTATCAGTATATAGCAGTATCACCATATATTTTGATATGTTGCTGCTATCAAAATTAAATTTATAGATAAAAAGGAGCTTGAACTGATTTGGTTGGAGTAATTGGAGAGATTCTGAAGGAAAATATACACTGAAAACTTTTATGCCTTATTCATTCAGTAGTTCATGTTGGTCATAAAAACTTTGTGAAATGATTTGAAGTTTGATTTTTACATCATTTAAGATCTAAAATTAAAGAGGAATGACAATTTCAAACTACATATATGTTCTTCAAGGTAAACATAAGATTAGAGCTCTGATTTAAAAGGATTGAGGGTGAGAAAAATCTCTTTGTTTTGCAAATGATCAGTTTATTGCATTTTTTTGTATGTTTTTGCAATGAAGCGTAAAGGTTGTTTTAACCTAAAAGCTAATTTTGATCGGTTTCTGCAGGCGGCAGGAACTGAGAGAACTCCGACTCCTTCAGAAAGAGGAGCAAAGGGCCCAGCAGCAGCTGAGCAACAAGCTGCAGCAGCAGAGAGAGCAAATCTACCGGCGCTTTGAACAGGAAACTACTGTGAGTCACTTTGTTTCTACCGCAAGGGGCTTTTTCCCTTTCTTCAGTTCTTTTCCTCCTCTTTTTCTGGGCAACTCCTCAGGAATTAGAAGGGTTGATATAAAATTTGTAGCCCATCTGGACCATTTAGAGTATAAAAACCTGAAATTCCTACCGCCATCTCTTCCTATTTGCTTCGACAGGCAAAGAAACGTCAGTATGACCAAGAGGTGGAGAACCTTGAAAAGAAGCAGAAGCAGACGATTGAGCGACTGGAACAGGATCACACCAGCCGGCTCCGAGACGAAGCCAAACGGATCAAAGCGGATCAAGACAAAGAGCTGTCCAAGTTCCAGAACATGCTGAAGAACAGGAAGAAGGAGGTATGGAGCTGCATGGCAATTTGCTTCGGGGTTCAGCTAATTTCTACCGTCTGTCTTTTGTTATAGTTTTTCTTCAACAGTTTAACTACCAAACTAGTTAAACTGTAGTCTCTTCTGTCTAGTCTTGTTGGAGTACTGTGGCTGGCTGCTCTGACACCCCTGTGTCCTCTTCCTAGTAAACACCATCTCTCCCCTTCTCCTTTAACGCTCCTTAATCCATGCGGTTATTTCAATCTTCTGCCTAAAGCTGCTGCTTCTCTATCCTCTGGCTCCCTCCAGAGAAATGGCTTCTTGGGGGTTATTTGTCTTTTAAAGCCTTTTAATAAAGGTCAGCCTTACTGTCATTCCCTCCCTCTTTAGCAGACTGTGCTTGCTTTGCTGGATGCTTCAGGTCTCCTCAGAGCCTTTAAGATTTGCTCTCTGCAGCTTTTTTCCCCCCTTCCTCTGCGCAGTGCAGTTATTGGGCTTCAATCCTTTTCCTCTTTACTTGCTGTTTATTGTGCTGCTTCCCTTTTATATTTAAATTTCAGCATATTATTAGCAACTGCATATCTAATGTGTGTGTAGTTTGTTTATAAAATCTATGTTTTGCTTAGACATGTATTTTGTGTGTATTGAACTAACCATGTTTGTTTTATGAGTGTATGAGTTTGCATCGGTTATGGGATGATCGGTTATGTCTTTAAAGGTGTTGGGTCTCTTTGGGTTAAATAATCCTAGCTCTGTTTCAGAGTGACTGATATGGAATTACATTTGTCTATGATAATTAGTCTACTGCTAACTTGTTCGAAGATACTCTTGGTCATATTTCAACAGAAATGGTGTTGATCCATGTTTGGCTAAGTTTATTGAGATTAGTGATATAATAGAAATGATTAGCTAAGTACAGTTGGCATAAAAAGTGTACAGACCCCTGTTAAATTTTCAAATATGACTAAACTGCAACTGTTTCAGGGAAAATAGACTACTTTTTGGGCTACAATTAAGTGAACTCTGCTGAGGACTTTTATTTAAGTCAAGTAGGGGTGTAAATCCCATCCATCATGGCGATTCGATTCAATATCGATTTCTTGACCCAACGATTTGATTATTTTCGATGCTCAAGAATACACCACGTTACAATTCGATTAATTGGTTACATTTTTTTTTCTTTCTTTCTTTTTTTTTTTTTTTTTTTTACACCTTACAGGCTGGACAATGTTTCAAATTTGAAATACATAAATAAAAGCTGTAATATCGTTATGCATTTTTTGAGAAACATTAGCAAATAACAGAAGTAGAAAAGTTGCATCAAAAAATACTGCAAAAATCAGTGCAATGAGTGCAATGCAATACCTCGGCTCCAGACGTCCCCGCCCCCTCCACAGACGCTCCGCTGCACCTCTCCCAAATTGTAGCTGACCGCAAACAGTGCCACAGACACGAGGCCTGCTTGTTTTGTTTTTATGACCGAAATTGCAGAAAACAACTCGTGAAGTCGAACCCGCTAGAAGAGAGAGTTGCGCGAGAACGCTGGGACCCTTTTTCCACCTGGATCTCCGCTCTTTTTGGACCTCATGTCCCTCCGTCGTCGGACTAAACTGGCCCCAAGATGGTTCATAAATAATGCCAAGAGACATTTTTGATGCTCCTATCCTGACTGATACTTTTTGTACAGTGGGATTATTTGAAACCTGACTGCCTGTGTTGACTAAAGCTAAATCATGCAAAAAACAGTTTTTCTCACTAAATGGTGAGATTAATCAAGAGGTACATCAGCAAAGTATGATTTTAAAGGTGTATGCAATGACACTAACAGCTTATGATACACTGTTTAATTCCCCTGGAACAGGTTAGTTATGTTGCACAGAATATAAACAACATCAAAGATGGAAGAGATTTGATCATTTAAAAGGGGTGTGTACACTTTTGTGATCCAGTATTGATTCTTTTTTTCTTTATTTAGTTATTCCATATCAGTCACCCATTTTTCCTTCATCTTGACGTTCAGAATATTCACACCTGTGGCTTTGGTGGAGGTAATGCAAACATAATCAAGCTTTTTCTGGGACTAACATCTTCTGGCATGCATCAGTCAAACCTATTGTTTAACAGCTGAAACTTGAATGTGAAGAAATGGTTTAAGGAGAATCGAAAGGTGAGGTGGCAGAAGGGAAAGGGAGGCAGAGAATCAGCATGTTGGCGTTAAATCTAATCTGTCGGTGGTTGGATGCTGGAATTCTTCTCTCAAAGAGGGCTGTGCACGTCTCTCCGGTTGTTGGGCACTATGTCTGATTTTTGAGAGCAACAGAGAATCATCTAGTTTCTGCATACTCACGCTGTAGGCCATTCAGGAAGTCGGACAGTCACCCAAACACATGCGAAAAGAGCTCATGAAACGGGTAAAAGAGGACCTGTCGCTCCTTCAGACTGCAGAGGTAAATCATTACCGTCTGAGACGCCACCTGTTCTCTCCTCCTGTTTTTATTCTCTTCCTAACTCAATCCACTCCTCTGTAGTTTCTGTTTGCCTTTCTTTTTAGGTTTTTATTCCGATTCACAGTGAAGGTGCTCACCATGTTTATTGCCCCGCCTGGTCAAAATGTGTAAAAAGCCTTAAACTAGCTTCATCTTGTTCTTCAGTTGTAGAAAACATTAAATATCATATTTGAGTACATCTAAATGTGAGATTGTAATTTAGGTTGTATTTTTTAATCTAGAATTTATTTTTATGTTGGTTTATGAGATCCTCGAATCACTAGTCCACAAGGTCTTTTTACATGGGATGTAAATTTGACAAAACAAAGGTTCTTTTAGTCAGCGACCACTGATTTAGGTCCACATTTCTCTCATCCCCATGGATAGCTTGGAGTTTAGTAAGAAATCAAGAAAAATTAAGATGACAGGATTCAAAAATGGGTTTAGAATTTTTTTAGGGCACATTTAAAAGTTTTGTAAGATGAGTCTAAAATTGAGATTTTTGAAGAAACACTCTTGGTGATTCTGGGATGAAACAAAAAGAGAACATGAAAGGGGGAAAATTGCCTCAGTGCCCAGTAGTAAGCATGGTGGAGGACCTGTGATGATGTGGACCCCTTCTCCAAAAGCCCTTAAAACCTTATTTAAGTGTGAGTTTTAAAATGCCAACCTCCTTTAACTTTGTTTTTGTTTTTTTAAATCTTTTGAATATTTGTAACTTACTTTGCATTTTGGCTTCTGCATCAACTGGATGCTATTTTTAGTATTAGTGTAGCTTTGAATAAGATGTTTAGAGGCAACCAATAAACTTAATGCTGTATTTTTGAACATTTGACCTGCTTACGCCATTTAATGCAAGTTATAAGAGGAGAATGGTGTAGGCCTCACATGATAGACGGCTCTAGGCGATTTAAAGTTTGGTTTCTAGGAGGATGCATCTGTGCTGAAAATCGTTTCCAAACTTTGCCTTCCAAAGCAGACTCAGACCTCCTTTTCCTATGAAAATTTCTGGTTATGATGCGCTTTTAGCGAGCAGCGTAACAAAAACAAAAACATCCCCGCTTCTTTGCATGATTGATTCAAATAAGATGCTGGATATGTTAGCTGCTTTAAAGCATGCCGTTATGAAAGGTACCATTATGACTAATTAATTGGCTTCCTTCTACCATTTAACCAGAGCAGCCCCCCCTCCCCCATTAAGTTAAGCTGACTGACATTCCCAAAGTGGAAAACATGTCTTGCATAACTCTGGAAGAGCCGGTGTGAGTGAGTGAGTGTGTGTGAGAAATCCTCAGCCTGCTGCGAGCCATCTGTTCCTGTGATCAAGGCGAGTGCGCTGTGTGCTCTCCTCCGCAGGCAGTGGCCCAGGTTATGATACAGTCTTTTCAGTTATCCTCATGCGCACTCTTCAACGCTCAGATGCAGGATGTAAGTTGACCCCCCACCTCCTCCACCCATCCCACTTTCTCTCAGTTTCTGGCCCATACTTAGATGTGTGTAAAGTTCAGCGACAGGACTGTCTGTGGTGGCTCACTTGTACTTTGAGAACTACACATGTAAGCATGGGCGGCGTTGGGCTTGCAGTATTTTGATGTTTTTGTATTTCAGTGTCATCACTGTATTTGTGCAGTGGTCCCTTTCTTCCTCTCCCGCTCAGTATTTTTCCCTCACCAGTCCACAGATGTCCTATAACTGGTTTGTGTAATGTACATGATAATTACATTGTGTGCGCAAAACTGGATTGTGTTTGGCTTAATTTGCTGGTAGTGTGGGTTTTGATCTCTTCTGTCTGAGTACATGTTTTTATCTGTTTGAGCGATTATATGGAGACAGCCTGGGGGGTGCCTGAAAGTCATTTTTTTACATTATTATTCACTGTTTAAAGCAGCCTAATTAGATTACTTTAAAAGGAAAAAAATAATACTAGCAAAAACTATTACAAGGGGATTCATGAAGAATTCTGCTGCAACTAAATGCTGAATTTAAGAGGAAATTGAGTTTTGGTAAAGCAAAGTGAGAGAATCAAAAGAAGAGCTCCACCAATTTGAATTTGGGCTTAATTTTCATATAGTGTGATATTTATATTTTTCTCAATATTGTTGCAAGCAAAGATCACCCTTATTAAATAAGTGTGAAAAAAATCAAATCCAGAAAAAAGGTTTTCAGTGACTTAGTTTTCTTAGACTTTTCAAATGATAAATGTTTTTGTATTGTAATTTTTTCAATCTTTTATTTTGTAAAATCTTTAAATTTTACTTTTAAAATTTCAGTTTTTCAGATTGTTTTACAAATTGCATTCTTTTCAAAAAAGCTTTTTACAGATCATTCCCATCACTTCAAACCCAATATAAACATTACCAACATTCATGCAGATGAATAGAAATGTCATTGCTCCTCTTTTCAGTGGTAGTAGCATAATGCTACTAAGCCAGCAATTTGTTAAATTAAACCTGAAAACAGAAAATTTGAAGAATTTTTTTTTTTTAAGTATGAAAAAGAATTAGAAAAAAACAAAATCTGAGAAAACAACATAGTAAACCTCTTTTTTGATTAACATGTTTTTTTGAAGTTTCATTTATAAAACTTGTTCCTTGCTTGAAGCATCATTTGGAACAAAACTGACTCCATATTTCCATTCACAAATTCTTTTTCTTAGTTTGACCCTTTGATTTAGTGTTAGCCTTCATCCAGATGTAGATCTTATTTTAAAGGTCAAACAGAGCAAATTCATGGGTGGAGGATATGCAAAAATAAACATTTACCATGTGGAAACAATTTTCCAGATCTGAAAATCAACTGCTGCTGCAGTTTCAGCTTCTTTTTCTTTTTTTCAGTACGTCTGAAGGTCTCGTGCAAACTGACATCTAAAAATATCTGGTCATGGTGGCCGCAAGGAGACATTGGTACGATGCTAGACAATGGAGAGAGAGATCCTCAAAAATAAAAATAGTAGAATATTAGTAAATATTCGGGACGGCAGACAATCTTTATAAAGTTAAAATCGAAAACAACAAAGACAATTTTCTCATGTTTTATATTTAAATTTTTGCTATATAAATGTAGCTATATTCATAAATTCAATTATTTTCATAACACTCAGGCTACCTTTGTTAAGTGCTCTATAAAAATAATTTTGTATTATATTATTATCGCCTCCAACTCCATGGCTTAGAACCTCATCTTTCCTTTACATTCACTCTGGTAGAGCAGACAATCGGCTCATTTTAGGAGCGAAACCAATCGGTTACACACACTAAAAGTGTCTCATGCAGTTTAGAGACCTTATTCTGATATTCTGATCAGGCCAATAGATTGTTGAATCACCTTCTCACTCTGTAGAGGCATTTTAATTTTCAATCATTTGTTGAATCAGGCCTTCCTCTAAACCATGCTGGAAAGAAGTCTCTTCTCTTCTACACGCCTTTATTCACCTGTTTCAGTCTCTGCCACCATTTTGCAAAAGACGTCAGAAGACATTCAGCTCCTAAAGGAAAGATATGCGCTGTCACAGCAGCAGAGATTTCCTTTTTCCTCCAGGTGCGCGCCATTCAACCTGTTGCCAAATGCGGCAAACTTCTGCAAAAACCCTGGAGCTTGCGCTGTACCCCTTTAAAGGCCAGAAAAAATATTTTTAAATAAAACGCCTAATGTTTCCATTTATGGAAGGTTTTTTTGTTGTGCCGCTAATAGCACAAAAACAAAAAAAAAAAAAAAAATAGATTTGATCAACAAAGTTTGTTTTCGGGTGTTTTTTCTAGCTCATGTTAACATAATAATCTCAATAGTTTTAAGGTTTTATTTTTTACTTCCTTTGTTTTGTCAGTAGGTTGTGAAATTCATGTTCCTTCATTTTCCATAAAACAAAATTTTCTTTTTTTGTTTTTACTTGTAAAATTGGATAAAAAATTATTTTATTTAAACATAAAACAAATGTATACAATAGGTTTTAACAAACTATTAAATGTCTTGTGGGTTTTACAGCTCTTGACAAATTTTGTTATTAAGGGAAAAAAAAAAAATGTGTCTCTTTGAATTGCAACTGTTGCTGACCCCTGGGCTAGTAACAGAACGAACTTTAGTGCAACTTCTATAAACAGCTCTGTTTGTCTCAATACAGACAGTTTTAGATTTTTTTTCTTTCAGAGTAAAATAAGCTAGTTATTAGTTGACACCTAACCTAGTTTCTTAACTGGTACAAACAGCCTTTGTGCCTTTATTCATTGTATAGCAAAGTGCTTTAGCACTTCTTTAAATAACTTTATTTTAAATCATTAAATTTATACTTTAGGACTAACTTAGCTAAGACTGCCGTCTATATGTGCCGCTTCTTGGCTGCTTATATAAGGTGCGTTCACTGGTCAGAGAACATATAAAGTTGAGTTGTGGTCGGTCCGTAGATGATGATGATGATGATGATGGACCAGAGTGTAAAGCGTCTTCTGGGTCCTGGACATTGTAAACATCAGTTTAGATGTTTTCCTCTAAGCTTTTTTCTTCCCTTTCATTGTGGATCATTGTCATCCATAATGTTCATCTCCTCCTTTCAGTCCAGTTGTTGATGTGACACAGCAGTCCTCTGTGTTGGACTAAGTTTGATGTGGGTTTTATATAATTCAGTGTTGTAAAGCTTGGATCTGTGTTTGGACTCACATTTTTTCATTTTACCTATTTTTATTCTGGCTCTTTGCTGTCTCCTCCTTATAACCACGTCTGGCTGCTCATCACTGCTTCCCCTCTTCTCCATGGCTCCTCAGGAGCAGGAGTTTCTGCAGAAGCAGCAGCAGGAGCTGGATGGCGCTCTGAAGAAAATCATCCAGCAGCATAAACTAGAAATAGCCACCATTGAGAGAGACTGCCTCAACCACAAACAGCAGTTACTACGAGGTAAGGAGACAGAGGAAGAGCAATGAAACCAGTGTACCGCTCCTAACAAAACAGTTGGAGTTTGATCTGACCTACATGATTATCATTATACATGATATCAGATTTATCTCAGTAAATAGGAAATTCCTTAATGTGTATCAATCGTACAATTAATTAAGAAAAAGTAAAAATCTTGCATTCTCTAGATTCTATGGATTAAGTGAAACATTTCTCACATTAATTTCTGTGCTTCGATTTTTATCTTGCAGCTATAAAAGCTATAACCCAATTTCTCTGAGAACCTGATTAATATCTCTAAAAAGCAAATGTATATTTCATATATGATAAGAATTATAAAGGCAATTCTTAAAGTATTTTTTTTTATCCAAAAATATAAGCCTACTAAGTTGCATGAAAATAATCTAAAGATTCTCTTTGGGATTTTGGTAATTTAAGTAGCTTTACTATGATCATTAAACCAGATAGGGTGATATTTAGCAGAGTGGGCAGGTCAAGACTTACCGAAAACTAATTAAAATCAGCATCTCCATAAAGCCTGCTGGAGAAGGAGGCAGGAATTGCTTTAAATTTCTTGTTGAATTTAAAAGGTAACTCTAATGCTTTAGTCGCTCTGAAATTCCTAAACACAGTCCACTCAGGGTTGCAGTTTATTATTCTTTCACCTGTGCACCTTTTCCCTTCAGTTTTTTCTTCCATTCAACCTTAAACAGGCAGAATCTTAAGCAATGAGCCCTTGTGTCTTACCATCTTTAGCCCTCTGGCTGTAACCCCAGGGGTCTGTTATAAAAGCCATTTTCCTTTTGGCCTGATGTTAAATATCAGTGAAACTAATTCTGTTATTTTTATTTTCATGTTTTTTTATGATATGAATAGAATTAAAGAGACATGTTAACTTTCTTATGTTAATCCAATTTCCTTATATGGGTGTGTAGTTTGACTGCAGCTCTACCTGTTTGTGTTGATGTCTGTTGGCCTTCGGTTTATTTAACCGGTGACCTGTGCCACCTGGGAACTCACTGGTTATGTTTGAGCAGACATGCTGCAGCCTGTCCAACTCGCCTCTTTGTCCTAAAACAAGTCCTACCCAACATGTTTGTTAATTTTGACACATCCGCCGCCTTTCCTTTAACTCTTGGGTGTTCCCATGTGTTCTGCAGCACGAGAGGCAGCCATGTGGGAGCTGGAGGAGCGCCACCTACAGGAGAAGCACCAGCTGCTGAAGCAGCAGCTGAAAGACCAGTACTTCATGCAGAGACATCAGCTGCTGAAACGACACGAGAAAGTAAGTGATTATAGGAGACGACATCCAGATATAAGAATGTCATAATTCAGAATTGCTTGGTTTGTAAACGCCTGCTGGTGTCTGCTGGTGGTAGGAGATGGAACAGATGCAGCGCTACAACCAGCGCCTGATAGAAGAGCTGAAGAACAAACAGAACCAGGAGAGGGTTCGCCTGCCCAAAATCCAACGCAGCGAGGCAAAGACTCGCATGGCCATGTTCAAGAAGAGCCTCCGCATCACTGTCACCGCGCCTCTGACCCCAGAGCAGGAGCGGGAACGCATCAAACAGGTGGATTTATCTTAGAATGACAGCGATGCCCCCTTCCCTATCCACTCCATATATTCATTTTTGGACAGACGGGCTGATGGGTTTTCCTGCTGTTTTTTTCCCCTCTCCATCTAGTTTGCTGCACAGGAGGACAAGAGGCAGAAGAATGAGAGAATCCATCAGCACCAGAAACACGAGAACCAGATGAGGGATCTCCAACTGCAGTGTGACTCCAACATCCGCGAGCTGCAGCAGCTGCAGGTCACATTAAAACACGTTCACTGTCTGACAGAAATATACAGTTTGAGTGATACTTATCAGAAACGTACCCTCTGCTCTTGGAAATGTTCATTTCCCCATTAAGTGATGCAGTTTAGGTTCCAGCTCAGCTTCTTAAGTGCTAAACAGCTCCTGGTGGAGGAGGTGTTGGCTGTCATTTGTTTCTTAAATGAATAAATTACAAAGATGCTTCCAAACATTTTGGCTAGTCCTGCTGGCAGATGTTCAGATGAACCACATACAGCCTCTCCTGCAGTGCCACCTGCTGGACAACTTAAGTTATCTAGCACTGCTACCGTTATCCATTTAAATACCGTAGCATGACCTGCCAACTAACATTTTTTTTTGCATTTCAAAAAAGTTGATACAGTTAAATCATTGAATCAGGAAGTGCTTGTAGTTAAGAAAAGAAAAAATATTAATTGGCCTTCAGAAGTAAGATGTGTTTTGCTTTTCTGAAAAGGTACCTCTTTCATTTTTATTTTTTGGGGCTGCAAGTTTTCTGTCTGACAACTGTGATATGCAATCAGAGACTTAAGAGGCTGCTGCTTTAATTAGATAGTCTGACATAAATGTTTGCAACTTTAAAACTGCAATTTTCCTAACTTTTTTTGATAAAAATTATAAAATGTGAGCATCCTGTTGTTTTTTGTTTTCTTAATTTTACATGAATAAGGGAAGAGTTGTCCTTTTTAGGAAACCCATTGTCTCATGAGCTCCAAGCTGTAATACTACAGATAAATAGAAAAGCTGACATATCGAGTTCATTGTAGTGATCAGAGCAGATTTAAAAAAACATCAGACCTTTATTTTGATATCACCGTTCTTTTTACTATTTTAGAATGAGAAATGCCATCTCCTTATTGAACATGAGACCCAAAAGCTGAAGGAGCTGGATGAGGAGCACAGCCAGGAGATGAAAGACTGGAAGGAAAAGCTGAGACCCAGGAAGAAGGCATGTTTATGCTTCATATACTTAGATTCTCACTACATGATATGTGCAGCAAAATCAGTATTTTTTCATTCTGATGTTTCTGTTTTTTGCTGCTCTCTATAGGCGTTGGAGGAGGAATTCACAAGGAAGCTCCAGGAGCAAGAAGTTTTCTTCAAAATGAGTGGCGAATCAGAATGCCTTAATCCCACCACCCAAAGTCGGGTTTCAAAATTCTACCCCATCCCAAACCTGCAGAACTCTGGTGTATAGCCTCCTGTTTAACTTCCTTCAAACGAAACTACAGTCGAACTTCTTTGTCACCCTCCCTTCTTCCTGATGGAGCTATTTTTTAAAGTCCCCAATAAAAACATTGAAATTTACTTTCTGCTTGGTTTTAAAGTCAGTGAGCTTACTAATTGTGCCTACATGACGTTCCCTCACCTAAATACTTCTCTCAGTTTGCTGGGAAATATTGATTTATATGCACTTTTTTTAAGCATGTGAAGATTTCCAAGGTTTGCGATTGTTAGCTAAGATCAGCCATGTTCGTCGGATTATTAAAAGCACAGCCTGAAACACGATAAATTATCTCCAGTGCCTCATATGTCTGTCAACCAACACCCTCCCCCACCATCACCACCACCCCCCACAATGACCCCCTTTATTGACGTTTTACTGCTTGCAGTAAATAAAAAGCCCTTAATGTTTTGCACTTAAAGCAGTCATCGTTCTCTCGTCACATAATTTGGTGATCAAATGAAAAAAAAAAAATCCTATTGGCGGCACAGATCTGGGAGAAGATAGAAAACTGTTTACGCTGATGTCAGGACATCAAGAAAGTGTCATAAAGCCGTTTCCTGAAAAAGAATGTACTGTGTTAGTGTGAATATAGAGTAATCAAAGATTAAGTCTACCAAGAGCAACTATCTTCTCCAGAGACGCTGTATTTATTTAGCACCTACTGTTATTTCCTTCCACACCCTCCAGGTGTTACGAACACGCCTGATCCGTTCACCAAAAGAAAATGCATCTTTCACTCGTTCAGATCAGCATTCGCACAAACGGTTTGTTGAAAGTTTGAAATGTAAAGGAATGTAACTGCACTAGGTCGCCACTTGAGTTAAAGAGTATTCATGCAGGTTCAGAGACTTTGCCTCACAGACGCCTATCTAAACTCCAAAATGACTGTAATGTTTTTTCTTTTAGTTTCATTTTGATTTTTTTTTTTTTTTTTTTTTGCAGATACAGCTTGATATATTTTCCAATGTTTATTTTGTTTTTTTTCTCCACTCTGATGCCGTAATTGCTTTCACAGTATGCCTGGGTCCTGTTACTGTATGAATCTCAGCATCCGAAGCCTTCCGCTGTATTTTAAATCAATATATTAGTATATTTTGCTGCTCCATGGTATATTTTCTATAAGCTGACTTGAAAATCTTTGTTTTTTTTTAAATGAATGCTGGATTTTTTTTTCTCTCCATCTTATCATTTTTTAAAATTTTATTTTGTTGCATAATTTTACCGAAAAAAAAATCGACCATGAATATTTCTATTGTATTCATATTTGATGTCAGATCTATTTAATGCATCTTTATAAAATGCTGTTCTTTTTTTCTTGTAAATAAAATAAAATCCTGACCATTTATTTGAAGAATTGAGTGAAATTTGTTTAAGTAGTCATAAGAACACAAAGACTCTCAAATCCAAAAATACATTTATTTTCGGCTTATCAAATAAAGGTTCAACCATGTTTATAATTTATTCTCTCCAACACTTAAAGGCAAGTAAAATATCAAATTCAGTGCTTAAACACAAAATATACAATTAAACCAGTCGTGTCTTTCCGATCATCTGAGTCCATCTCTGTAATTACATTTGTCTTCTTTATACCAACAAAACCTTTGCAAGTAAATGACTCACTTTGTTGAGACTGATAAAAGTCAACATGAAGCTTTGCTATTCTTTTAAAGGCTTGATTGTTTTGAATATTATTATTGGTTGAATGTGTAATAAATGCTTTTAAAAACTTCTATAGTCCATAGATACATATAATCCCCCAAACTATAGCAGATATAAAAAGTAGTGGCAGATGCTCGCATTTGACATTAAAAACTGCTGCTCCCCAAAAAAGGGGAATGCCATCTTCTAACTAAGCAAAGTAAACATTTTACACCCGCATGTTAAGCATGGCAGCCTGTGCCTTTTAAAACCTCAGGCCAACACATCTATGAAAAGCATTTATAAAGAACCACATGCATTTTTATTTCCCCAAAACCAACCTTTGCTTCAAAAATAAAGAGCACATTTTTTACAGTTTAACCACTAATATTAAACAGAAAAAAAAAAACAAGAGCTGAGTTGGAACATTGCAGCAGGACACCCCTCAGCCACCAGTGGCTTGGCGCCGGTGACGTCTTTGACGAACCGAAGGTTTATCACCTGTATGGAAGGAATAAGGGTCTAAATATTACATGGTTTAGTTGCGCACACATTTCTTTTATAAAACAAATTCAGATGTTTCCACTAAAGCTACCTGCTTCCCGCCTTTGCACTTTGTGTGGTATTTGGACAGTGTAGGGTGCTGGGATTCCAGGTAGACCTGGAGGTCCTGCATCACCTGCGATCATATAAAACCTCAGATATAGTTAAAACAACTTTAAAAAGTGCAGAGTTACATCAGGTTTGTTGAGATGTACCCGTGTCTCCTTTGGGTCCTGGGTACCCCCTCTCTCCCTTTGGTCCTGGGCTTCCTGGGGGTCCGGGAATGGTGCCATGTCCTGCACACAATCAAAAGTATAGAGTCGTTTACAATTCTTCTCTTTTCAACTTATACCTTCCTCTTTCTGAGTAAGATTGTTGAAAAAGTAGAACTCTATTCGTACTCCTGAAGAAGTCCATCAGGTCAGCAGTGACATTTCCATATGCCCCAATCACGCGGCTAGTACCAGGAGGTCCCGGAGGGCCAGGGGGACCTGGAGGCCCTTGAATAGCTCGGACATTTGTCCTCCAAGGACCGTCAGAGATGTACCGCTGCAGCAGGCCTTGATCTGCAGAACATGTGCAGTAAGAAAACATGCAGTTAAGACCAAACATTTTATATTCAATAAAAAAAGAGGCAAAAACCAATTTGTCCCCCTGTATGATGCAAAATCTGAATTTTTCCTGTTTCCAGTCATTGAAGACTTCCTAAATCTTTTCCATTAGCTTGATAATAATTTAAAATAGTTGGTATTCCATTCTTAGAAATCAGAAGTCTTTAGTTGCCAAGAAAACTACCCATTTGACAAGTCAAGTTTAACAAGTTAGTCAATGCAAGTTAGATAAATGCACATCTGAAACACATTCTTCCCTGTGTTGAAATCCTGGAAATCATGGAATAACTGTGTTTGGTGGATATAAGCGCTTAGGCACTAGGAGGCATTTGCTGCATTTTATATTGTCCATCAAATTGTGCAAATTGCAATTCAGATAATTAATTTACTTCAAGTTTTTGCACTAGGATGAAGTGTTTTTTGGTTTTTTTGGCTGTATCGAATTGGTATTTTTTGCATTACTGCAAGGAAACTACTTTTTTTGCATAATGAGTCACAAGATCAACAATCGGATGTTACTTCTATTGTAGAAAAAAAAATAGTAGGATGAAGATGTGGTATGATTTTTAAAATAGTTACTTTAGGAACAAATTTAGTTACATTGGATTTTTAACTGTATTTCTTATTTAATAGACACAAAGCAATTGCAAAATTGTAGTTTTTGACATAAGTGGAATATTGGCAATGTCTTGCGTCCATTTGTAAAGGAAACACACCTATTACCGGTATCCACAGTTCAGGCAAGTATAACACCAAAATGAGCTGAAAAGGCCACTGCTAAAGAACGGAGCTATTACTCTGAAAGCTGATCCCAATCCCACAAAAAAGAAAAATATATACTTAGAGACATTTGAATTGACATTTGAAACGTCTTCAAATCTTGAAAACCAAGTCCAGTGGATTTTTTTTTTTACTTTTACGGAATATACTTAGAGCTTAAAAGGTCCATGTAAGTGAGGTGCTCTTAACAACCTAACTCGTTTTGTCTGGAGAAATGGGCCTAAATTCAAGCACACCATTGTGCAACAGCATGGAAGGATAATTAAAACATTTTTGCATAAATTGTGTTTTTAAAAGTAATTCAACTAAATGCTAAGGAAATGTAAAGTATGTAATCCGACTTTGACATTGTTGTTCATTTAGTAATTAGAAATCAGCTTGGTGACCTAAACTGGGAAAGTTTTCATTTGATTTAAAGTCAGGGAGGAAAAAAAATATATAGTATGTCATTTTATGCTAAGCAATTAAACATCTGGTTTCAATGGTTATTTTGTTAAATAAGACAAGTCAAAAGTTTGACATTGAATGAGATAAGTTTTAAAAAGACACAAAAAAACTCATCTAACCTTTTATTGGACACATTTTATGAGCTTTATTTAAAACTGAACCAGGTTGAGCATTTTGCCTAAGAGTTTGCAACAAGCAGGACTAATGAGACAGAAGCTGTTGTTCACTCACTCTTTATGTAGTCTGTAACTTTCATCGCAACGCTGGAATAATCGAGGGACTCGGTGAGCTTGTTGACATCAAATTGCTGGGAGCTGTAGCGAGCGTCGCCCTGTGGGTAACTCTGGGTCTGTATGAAGCTCTGGGAGTAGCCAGGTTCTCCACGTTCTCCCTTCTGACCCTTTGGACCTTGAGGACCCGGAGGTCCGACAATAGTCCGCCGAACACTGTCACCTGGGGAAAAAAGTGAAGTTGGTTTCCAAGGGATTATCGCTGGTTTGATTTGTTTACATGTACTGAACATTTTTAGCAGTTAAGGTTTAAAAGAATTGCTTTAATAAGCACTGTTTGTATGATTTGTATGAGTTTTTCGTTCTTCAGAGTGGAAGTCATTACAGGATGTTCAAATTCGGCTGTTTTCCGTACTAAACAATAAGAAATAATAATAATAATCAGAAGTAGCCCAGAGATTAAAGACACTGTAGAAGTAAACTATGTTTTCTAATGTTGAGAAAAGTGTTTATTTTAGGCTGCTAGAGAGCGAGAGAGAGCAGGGCTTTCAGATGGCAACAGGAAGGGTGAAAAGAGAAACAAAAAGTTAATTTTTCAACTTTTGCTGTATTTTTTTTTCTTTTTTTTGGCGTTGCCTCTAAACCTCCTTTTATTTTTTAATCAGCAGCTTGACTTTTACCAGAGCTTTGTCTGTCCAACAAACATGGGAGGCCACAGTGAACTCCTTTTGTTTTAATGTGATGTCCATGCAAGATATGATTAACCCTCCACCACCAGACTAGACAATTGATTTGAGGTGCCTGAGCTAATATGGTCTATTTGGTAGAGTCTACTAAGGAAATATCTCCATTTTGGTCTAGCTTGTCTGGGGACCACTGATCCAGAAGTTTTAGCAAAGTATAAGCCTTTGGTTGTTTTTTGAAACCTTGCAAATAAGCCATACTCATTATCTCTTAGTAACTATACCTTCTTGAGCTTCTTTTAGCACATAAGATCAGGTCTGTAACATCTGACAGAGATATTGTTGTATTTTTACTAAATATTTCACAATCTGTCCTCTATTGATTCTGTCCTCAGGAGAAGGGAGGGACCCCATGTTCAATACTTTCCTCTTGTGAATCATTGCTGAAATTATAAGACATGTATATAACTTATTTATTATTTGTAAACAGCCTTGTTAATAGCTTTCCCTTTTCCTGAAAAGAACGGCTGCTACTCTTTTTCAGGTTATTTTTCTTCTTTGGCATTATGATGAGAATTACCTAATTTCTAAATTAGTGTATTTCTAATAATAAATAGTCAAGCAGCTCCTTACTTTCAGTTTCTTCTCTATTTGTATATTTGAATAAAGGACGTAGCTGGATTTTCATTTACATTTATTTTGTTTTCCGTCTTACATGTGTTTCAATCGCTTCACAGCTGCTAGTTTCTGATTACATCTTAAAACAGGAACTAAAGGAAGGGTGGACTTCCTCTTATCATGATTGTATATGTGTTAGGGTGAGCTGTTGGATTCTTACTGTTCAGATACTGCTGAATTTCAGCACGGATGGTTTCCCGAGGGAGGTTTTCACTGTAGGACACTGATCGAGTGAGAGCGCCTGATGGTCCCTGTGGTCCCTGGGGACCTGGAGGACCAGGGGGGCCAGGAAGACCTCGGAACCCAGAACCTTAGAGAGTACACAGCAATATGAAGCGACACAGCAGACCACAACTTACAAAATTACAAAACCTTATTTAGTCATCATCTTTATTTTCACAAGAACTAACATGAACAGAAACCACAATATATGACTCTGATTATACATTTGTAGAACTCAGTTTTAAATATGAAATGTTTGGATCGGAAATTTAAAAATATCAGAAGAGAGAGCTCCCTCAATAAAAGAGAAAATCTTTAGATTTCTTGTATTAATTCAGCATGAGGGTCTTTGAGGTTTTTAGAAAGTCATGGTTTCTATGGTAGCATACTTACCGTATGCTTGTCTTTTGAGCTGCAAGAGCATAAAACTAGCATCTCTGTAAAGCCTGTCAGCAGGAGGATGTATGAGGTATCATAACATTTCATTGCAGATAGCTGCTCTGCCTTTGGACTTCATTTAAACTAACATACCAACTCCACCAGATGACCTGGTATCCCAGATTCCCACTCTGTCATCCCCCCTCTGATCATCCAGACTTTGGTTTTCTGATGAATTCTGTTTGGGGGTTTCTAATGAAAGTGACCATGGATATATCTGGGATCATGCAGTATTTTTCTCCTAAGCTCAGGTAGTTGCTTCTGTTTGTGGCGGTTCCTGAAGCTCTTACTCTCTGCATAGTCAAATGGACTCTGTTACTCAATCCGCTCAGGGTGGCGATTGTCTTGCATCAACGTGAACAACCAGCCAGCTTCTACAGCAGTGACATCCTTTAGCTTCTGCTTAAAATTATTGTTCAACAGTCTTGTGTTATAAGCAGATTTTATGAGATGCTTTTTTTTTAAATTAGCTGTTCAATCTAATCATCCAAACGGAGAGAAATAAATGGTTGAAATACACTCTTAGATGTCTAAGGCACACAACACAATAATTTAGTTTTTCAATTAAATAACAAAAATAAGTAAACTTTTTAATACAATTTCAATTTATTGAGATAAAGTTGTAATAGGCTGTTATTTATGGCTGTGACCAGCCTTTTTATACCTGTTAAATATTTAAGGTAAACAAGATATGAATTCAGCTCAGCTTTATGCTCTTGAGTATTTGAAGCTGGTTATTCTTAGCTAGGAAAACATTTCAAATACTCCCATTCCTAGCAATCTATCTATAAATGATTACATTTAAAAGCATTTAAAAAAGGGGACTTTTTTTTTTTTTATATTTTTTGATTATTAAAGTTCGTATTGTATGTTGTCAGCAAGAAAATGGGTTCAGATATACATGTTCCTGCTTCTCATTATCAACATTAGTAATAATAGATGTTTCACTAATTCTATCTATTGTGTCTTTTCTAGTTCTCTGAGTTTGGACAAACAGAAACGGGGAATATATTCTGACCCACCCTGCAGGTAGCGTTGAATCTCCTCTAGGCTGTAGCCACGACTGCCCGACCCATAGACAGTGGATGTGGAGACCCCTGGAGGCCCCTGAGGACCAGCAGGACCTGGCAGCCCTGGCCTACCTGGTGGACCGGGCGGACCCTGCCGCATAACAGAAGCCATCCAGGAGCGGAAATCTGCATCTGAGTGGTTAGAAATATAACCAAAACGTTGATTAGGTTTTAGTTTCGAGTCGTTAAAGATGGGTGAAACTGATGAGTCATCTTACTGCGGATCAGTTCGGAGTAGTCAATCATAGCAGTGTTGATGCCAGAGCCTCCTATACCTGGAGCTCCAGGAGGACCCGGGGGACCTTGTGGACCTCTTGCAATCCCCCTCTCTGGAGGTTGTGGTAGAGTTAATGACTGACAGCACTTCCCATTAGTAGTAACATCTGTTGTAAGCTGCTCTTACCATTCATGATATTGAAGACATACATGGCTATCTCCTCTATTCTGTAATTGCCTGTAAGTTCTCCTGAGGCCCCCGGTGGTCCAGGCGGTCCTTGTGGCCCCGGAGGTCCTGACAAATACCTTCTCACATCATCTCCTATTAATTTCAAAGTGGAAACAGCCAAATGATGAGCATGAAGATGAAAAGCATTTTTATCTTTAATTCCAAGATGCCATCCTGTAGTTCAATGCTTTGAGACGGAATGTCCCAATGCAACTTATTTATTTCCAATACAATACCGGTACTGAAATTTTGACTATCGACGGATGCCGATAGTGACCCGATACAATATTAGCACTCATCATACACGCTTTTATTAATTTGTTTGTACTGTCAAATTTTTGTTTGATTCAGCAATATAACTAAAACGAAGAACAAAAGTGAAAAACAATAGGTGTGAAAACAGCTGACCCATGTAAAATTAACCAATAAGTTGCAGAAACTTTTAACAATGTTTTAAGTGTTTCATAAAATATCAGACAGGAAGGCCGATATAATCTGAAGTGCTTTGGCTAATATAACACCATTATCCAATATTAATATCGGATCAGGACATCCCAAGTTTTGAGGAAGCGAATCTGAGAAATATTTTCTTGTACAAAAAAAATGGGCCAATAAGTAAGCTATAGGTTATTCTGGGAAATGCAATAGGTTCTTGACTGAAAAAATATTATGAATGATTAGGAATTAAAAAACAATGTATTAAACTAAGCAGATTCAATGCATCCATGTTTTTTAGGCACTTTTCCACCATGGCTGGGAGCTGTTTATGTACTCACTCTGAAGCATGGTGATGAGAGCATTGACAGTTAGGGATCCAGAGCCAGGTCCGGGAGGACCAGGTGGTCCTGGAGGTCCCTGAACTCCAAAGCTGAAGCCAGAATCTGAACCTGGAATTACGCAACAATTAAACATGGTAACCTACAGCTAGCTGTGACCAACAAATGAGCAGTCCCTCTTCATATGATTATTATCAGATCTTACGTCGCAGGTATGCAATGACACGAGTAGAGATGTCCTGTATGGTTCCTGTTAAGGGGCCTGGAGGGCCTGGGGGCCCAGGGGGACCTGGAGGGCCCGACATACCACTCAGTCTGTACCTACCTGTGCGGACCAGAAAAAAACCCATTAATATTTGTTCTAATGCGCTTATATCATCCAACTCTCTCATGTTTTTTAAGACACTCACTCAGATAGTCTGAAATGTACTGCCGCATCTCTGTGGAGTCGCCAAAATTGCCTGGTGGGCCAGGAGGACCAGGAGGACCTGGGGGACCAGAACGGCTGGAGGTGACTGTCACTGAGCCTAAAAAGATAAGAAAGTCAGGGTGTCTTTACCAGAATAAAACCCATTTAGAGAATAAAATGCAAAAAGCTCAGTATTAATATGTAAACGTTTTTTTAAATAAATGAATTTCCCCTAATTTGGGCAGATAGGTAGATGATTTGTATTTAAAATAAAATAAAAAAAATTACTTCATGTGCATAATATCTAATAGTCTTATGTTGAGGGCAATAGTACTCATTCAGTTGGATGAACCTCTGATGTACCTGCTCATATTGTGGGCAAACACTGTGATTTCAAGAAGTTTTGACTTATTTTTTTATGACTTTTTGCAGTGAGGGCATTTATGGCGCTGTCACACCTTGACAATTTATCCAGCGTATGCTGACGTACCAAAAATTTGGCAAAAATACTGTTGTGCGTTGGATAATTTATGGGTACATTTTGTATGTAAGTTATGACCACACCCAAGCATGCTGGCACACATCAAGGTATGGCAAGGAATTTTATTTCTTGATGTATGCCAGCGTATGCTCATACGTGGGTCATAATTTACAGGTAAGCTATGTGATCGTTGACACACATTAACTGTAAGTTACTAATAAGTCGTGGTTTCTAGCTTATCCAAACTGTATCTCCCCATCATAGGGTGAGCATGAAGCTGAGTGTGATGGATCCTCCCTATGTTCACGCCCACGCCCACGCCCAACAAACTTCCTAGCAGACATGATGCTTATTTCTTTCTCTCTTTCTTTTTTCTTTTAATATATTTATTTATTTATTTTTGGCGGGTGGAAAACAGCAGCTAGGTAAATACCGTGACTGCGAAGTTTAGAGAAATCTTGTGCTTTTTAATGCGGGCAGGGTGACTCCAGGTGTATCGCTGTCCCATTTTAGGACACTGGCTCGTGACATTTCATGGGCATTACGCCGCCGTGCGTTATGCATAAGTTAGGCTGTCATTGGACAAAAGTTCTGGTGTCCTTATGAGCACTCTATGTATACGGTCAAAATTGAAAAAATACATAGAATGTTCAGCGTATGCCAGTGTTTTAGAAGTTTCTTGGACGTCAGCATGCGTTGGCTAAATCGTCAAGGTGTGACAGCACCATTAGGAGGATATTTTTAAAGATCTCCATCTTTTGACGTACCTGGTATTCCCGGAGCTCCAGTGTCTCCTTTAAATGAAACCAAAAAACACACACGTCATCATGTGAACCAATCAACAAAGCAAAAGAAGACTTAAGCATTTTAGCTTGTAAGGGTTACCTTTCACTCCAGGTAATCCTGGGACTCCAGGAGGTCCTGGTGGACCTGTGGGTCCAGGGATCACATTTCCTGCAAAACCAGTAGAGCTTCCGGGTCTACCTGGTGGGCCTGGTTCACCTTAAACACATGCGATAACTTTTACATCTTTTAGCTGTAAAAAGGACTGTCGCTTTTCGTCTGTTTTTTTTTTTTTTATATCCAAGCAACATCTTATTGATGTCTGACATTTTCAATGACAGACATACCTGTGTATCCACGGGGTCCCGGAGAACCTTACATAAACACAGAGACAACATGATTAAGTGCTGACAACAACCTCAAACTGGAGTAGAGAGGGAGAGATCTGCATTATCATATCACCTGTTTCTCCTTTAAGACCAGGTGTCCCAGGAGGTCCTGGTGGTCCACGATAATATGTTCCTGTAGGCAAAGCAGCATTAAATCTGTCTGTCACCACAACTTGGAAAGACTAAATGCAGACGAAAGTCGATGTTACCTGAGCTTGATGAAGAGCCTGCATCTCCCTTTTCTCCTTTAGGTCCTGGTCTTCCATAACCTAAAGAACAATACTTAATGGCACTTAATCACACCCTAACCGTGACCCCATCACATCTAAAAGCGTTGCCACAAAAACTAAATGTGAATTCATATTTTAACCTAATACTTGCCTGGCTCTCCTGGGGGTCCTCGAGGTCCAGGAGGTCCTTGTCTTGAGTCGCCTTATGAAAGATCAAAATATCAGAAACTATATAACCCAGCTGATTTCTGGACTTGGTCTGACTCTTCAGGAAGCTGATCTCTCACCTGGACGTCCAGGAGGTCCAGGAGGCCCAGGTGGACCTGGTGGGCCATGTATGTTTCCTCCATTAGTGTACTGACCTGAAGCAAAAAAAAAAAGAAAAGGAATACAATATGCTTTGACAAATTCATGAAAAAATATAGTATTCACCTCTAAACACTATCAAAGTAAAGCTTTGGGGTTACTGATTTAAATTACCGGTAAGTCCATTTTTAACATGCATGCAGGTTATCTAAGAGTGTTGGGATCTGGAGCTGTACCACCTTCCTCCAGCAGAGTACGCCGTGGGTCTCCTGGAGCTGGAGTCTT